AATAATAATAATAATAATAGTAAAGTTGGAAGGGACCTTGAAGGTCATCTAGTCCAACCCCCTGCTCAGGCAGGAAACCCTATACCATTTCGGACAAATGGCTGTCCAGTCTCTTCTTAAAAACTTCCAGTGTTGGAGCATTCACCACTTCTGGAGGCAGGTTGTTCCACTGGTTAATTGTTCTCACTGTCAGGAAGTTATATAAGTTATAGGTTATATATGTTATATTTTATAACTAATATTATTGATTTTTATATTTATAAATTTATAAATAAATAAGTATATATATATATATATACACACACACACACACACACACACACACAAATTTATAAAATGTATTATATGTGTGAGTGTTCCTGCTTTTTGCTATTTATTTCTCTTCATCTTTGCTGGACGGAGCCATGGATAGAGTTAGAATTAGTGGTGGCACAGTGGCTAAAATCAATATTGCAGACTAATTGTGCCAACTGCCAGCAGTTTGATCCTGACTGGCTCAAGATTGATTTAGCCTTCCATCCTTTTGAAGTGGGTAAAATGAGGACCCAGATTGTTGGGGGCAATATGCTGAGTCTAAACTGCTTACAGAGGGTTGTAAAGCACTGTGAAGCAGTATGTAAGTCTAAGTGCTATTGCTATTTAAGATTAATTAACTTTATTGTCCAGTAGTGTCTGTAGGATGGTGGCTATGGCTGCACACAGCCTTGTTCCCCTTTAGTGCCAAATATATTAAAAGAACAAGGTTGGGACCACATGGTTGTGACTACCATCTTGACTTTTTGACTTCTCCTGATGATTGTTATGGCTGACTGTCATATGGAAGGATATAAAGAGGTTCTTTACTTCCAGCGCTCCTTGGTGTTTAAACTTATTCAGAGGCCCAAGAATGTCAGTAGAAACTAGAAACAAATGCCAGTTGCGGGTTTTATAATTCACTTTCAGAAGGCTGACTTTATATTAGCTAATATCCTGAGAAAGGCCAGGCCTAGTCAGGACTTGAATGAGACACCTCCAGCATGTAGCCTAGAAGACTAAGTGAGAACTCAGAAGACAAACTAATTCTGTTGCCAAGAAAATAAGTGGTTGTAACTAGGTTATCATCAAATAGAACCTGATTTATAAGTATGTTAATTTTCTGAACTAAAATAAAAGTCTATGGATGAACCCATAGGGCAGACATGTCAAACTCGCGACGTCACATGACATCGCGCGACGTATCGGAGCTTTTTTGCCATTGCCGGCAATGGGGTGGGCGCAGCTCTGGTATGATGAAACCGGCCCACGGGCCGGCAGTTTGATACCCCTGGCCATAGAGTAAAAGGCCGGAGGTTTCAGGTTTGTGCCCCAGATGCCCACTGTTCAAAAGCTGGAATTAAGGGTTTAAGAAATCCAGGGAAGCTAGCAGAGAACTTTTTCCACAGTGATCTATTTAATCTTAAAGAATAGGTAACAAATTTGAGCTAAGTCTCTTCTCTCCCTCTCCCCTTCCTCCTCCCCTCCTTTCTCTCTCCTCTTTCCCCTTTCCTTCCCTCAGGTCTGTTTTCTCTATACAAGGTCTGTGATTGTAAATCTTAGCGGGATTTTAATTTTTCTTGTAGATTTCAACTGGAAATTCTCTTCAGATGCTGCTCTTTGTGATCTTCATATTTATTTATTTTTAACTTCACCTTTGATGTTTACTTCAAATTAGAAAAAAGCTTTTTAAACCTTTTGTTGTGTGTGCAAACCTTGTGAAATTTGTGTACACCTTGTGATATTGATCTGTCTCCCAAAGGAGGAAGGGGAGACTGATTTGACATTTTTATCAGCTTTATTTTCCCTGCTAATTTACCAGGCAGGTTCACAGGCTTTGGGACCCCCATCTGTCTCACATATCAGGGTTAAAGGCAGGACATCTGATAACATCCCGTAGCAGCAGTAATTACCAATAGCTGCACCAAGTCAAGATGGCAGGGCCAGAGTATATAGAACCAATTGACTTCTAGGAATGGAGAATTAAGACCTCTAATCATCACCTTACACTACAGGGTCAGCCCTCTAGCTAAATCTTATCTCCCTCTCATACACATGATCTGTGGCTCCCCATCTTGTGAAATAGACTCTGGGTGGCTAACCCTAATAAGAAACACAATAAAACATTACAATGAACAAGAAAAACTAGATGCCTAATTCAACAATTTATATTTGTCCAGTTATTTGAAGTGCCTGGGGGAAAAGCCAATTCCTAACAACTTTCCAAAAGTTTAAGGCTGAGGGTGGTAGTGTTTCCAGATCTTAAAAAGAAGGGTGTTCCATAATCACAGTTCTTAACCACTTTCAGAATTTCCAGCAAACTTAACAATTTCTCTTTGGTATCACTGATTTTTGTCTTCATATTTTTCTACTTATTCAATAAATAGTGAAGCAAACCATAGCTTACCTGTGGAATGAACATAACCATCTCAGTTTGTTTTAATTGCGTATCTTTGTCACCATAATAAAAAGTCATAATTCAGTGGGCTTTAACCTTGTTATAAGCACAAATGTTTAGACCTAATTATGTCAGTCTGGGAGGCATATTATAGCAGCAATCTTTTAAATCAGTTAAGACCAAAGGCCCTCAGACCTTAATCCTCAATCGTTACATATTTACCCTGGTTTTGTTCATTGCCCTTCAAATTGTTTTGCCCTCAAGTCATTTGCAGACCATCTTTACTCAAATAAGCACACAATTTCCTTTAGCTCAGTATGTGTATGTACATAAATACATGTGAAAAGATGAAAGTATTTTGCTTGATATTTCTGTACTGATCTGAAAAAGGTACACGCGTGGGTTTGTGCGTGTATACATATATATAGTAGCTCATTTGATGCTGTATACTGATATTTTGAATCAAGAATCATGGTTTTGGAGAGCAACATTTGACCTATAGAAAGAATTCTGACTATGCTACAAAGATAGCAACCAAGATAGCGTTTGCCTTAATTTGTTTACCTACGTGAGGAACAGCATTATGCAGTTACAGACATGTGAGCTGGGCTATCTGGATCCTTGCACAAATAGATTAATGGCCCTGGGCAGCTTGGCATAATAACACAAAGCTTCATTGGTGCAGAGGTTTTTGCTTCTGGCCATAACAAAAAAAGTTGGCCTACGTGCTACCTAAATGAGGCACCTCAGTATCTTTCACTGGAAGATAAAAACAGAGCAAGACAACTTTTAATAGCTGGTGTGATATAAAGTACCAAACAGGGACTGGAGGGAGGGGATATAGCTTGGCATTCCTGCTCAGGCATGAATCTGAGTGGATGAACCCATATTCCTTTTCAACTTTCTTCTTAAATGCAGTTTTTAAGTTCCCTGGTAGGAAAATCTGAGCTTAAAATATAAATTTCTTTAAACTTGAACTTGTTAAAAAAGGAATAGTTCAAATATCCTGTTAAGTTATGGCTCATTTATCTATAGTTTGAATAAACTAGAGCTCTGCATCATAATGAACAATTAAGCCAGCTTACAAACCACTGTGGTGTTGTATATTGATCACACAA